AAGAAAATCGAGAAAAATCGAAAATTGGAAAAAATAAAAGTGCGCGCGATTTAGATGTTATGTAAGAAAACTGTTAACACCTACGAATCTCCAATTCATGACAAACAAAATGTCATTTATTTAAAGAAATTCTTATATTAGATTTGGAGAAAATCGCACCAACTTTTCATACTCTCAGTTTTGTTTATCGCTTTTGCGCATTCGGTTTAAAAAATTACTATTGAATTAAATGATTCAAAAATATCCTAAAGCGTTGCTCTTGCTCTAGTTTTTAAACTGTGTAAGTTTGGTCAACTATTTACTTGCTGCTCTTGAGAACGAATTTTGTTTTTGGAAGAGCGTTTTAAGTAAAGATTTAGCAAATCTTTGAAGTTTTGCGTTTACCACGATTTCTCATAAACGGTTCAAACGATTGTTTTTTTAAATTTAGCTACGTCTTCTCAAGGATAGATAATCTGTACCTGTTTCTTTATATTTAACTAGACCCTGATTACAGGGTGAACTCGTGCCTTGCTAACGTGATTTCTGGGAGTGACGTTAAATATTGTGAAGTGAATTTCGATTTTTTTAGTGAATCACCACTTTCTGAAGGAAAATTAAATTAGGTTTCATAACCATTCCCCTCTTTTAACAACTATTGGATTTAAATTTTTACCCACTGGTTTTAATCCATATGCTACCATTGCAGCCTTGACTCCGTTTGTTAAATCTCATGAACTGATTTCTGATCGAATGGTATGGGATTTACTGTAATGGCGGTGCAATATGGCTTACAGGATCGCTTTTCATCAGACAGAAGGATTACTAGGACATAGCTTGTTGCCACTTGCCTCTTCTTAACAAATGCATTTCTCAGGCATTTGAGCAACTCGTGGTGGAAGTTTTTGAGGGCGGCCAAGACATCTGCAGGTCGCTGATGGTTAGGGTGCACGTGGGACAAAATATTTTTTCCAGATTGCTTTTGATAGAGTGGGCTTCAAGAAGCAGGGTATTGTATTCCATTCTCCTCCAACACAGCGTTTTCAATAGCTCCATAGAAGAATTCTGGCTGTCAAGCTTTTCTTGATAGTCCTGGTCAGCATTGGTAAGCCCTTGAGCAAGGAACTGGATATCTTTCTCTAAATCATCAATCATTTCCATCACTCTTCTCTCTAAATTATCTCTATTGGCAGGTACTGGTGGTGTGGTCTCTTTTCTTCTTCTTTCATATTCTTTGTAAAGAGCTTTTACTCTGCCATCTCCAAGATCAATATCCCCATTCCATTGATTTCTTACCGACTCTTGTAGTGCTGGCTTGAGGTCACAAGCATCTACTTTAAGCCAGAATCGTCCCGTTGGATGTGATACTTTTAAGCTTTTCAAAATATCCATCTACATTGGAAATTAAATCAAAATGCATCAAATTTATGTTAACACTAAAGTAAGATATTCTTTTTATTTTTGGCTTTGATATTACAGCCAAATTAATAATGAAAATTCTAATAGAAAAACAAACCCTGCAATTCTGGGTTTTTGCTGAATTGTGATTTTGAAGTTCTTTTCTCTACCCACTTTAAGCTTGGGGCTGCCACATTAACTTTTGCCTAGGAATTTAATATTTAAATAATAAAACATATACACAAAACACTCCTTTCTAAATGCAAAAAATTCAAAACCCACAGTAAAATACAAGTTCAACCGTACTGTTTCATACCAAAACTAACTGAAACGTAATATGTTAACTTTTTGCCAACGTACCAAAATAAACTAATTTTTTTCTAGTATATGATGACTAGTAGAAAAGTATTAGCGTGGACTGTGTCGGTGTTTCTTGATAAAATAGTAGGAACTATAGGATAGCTTACATCACAGTGAAAAAGTAGATCAGCCTGACGTTTCAGAAGTTAGTCCTTCGTCGGATAAGTAAGGTTTTTTCTACCTTACTGTTAAAACATCTTTATGGTGTTCAGCTGGAAAGGAGCTCCACATGGGTCCTCTGAAGAGGCGGTTGAAGCATGATGGGAACTCTGAACACATAATTTCATGCCACTCAGCATAGTCATTAGGTGATCTAAATTCAAAATAAATTCAGTGGGCGGCTTTTACTGAGACAGCCTCTTAAGCATTGGTATTTTGGAAATATTGTGCTGTCCCAGGTCGACAAACATTTTCCCAATTCCCGGAAAAAAATACCCCAAATTAATTTTGGAGTATCTAAATTAAAACTCATGAATAAATAATGAGTGAAACACAATAGAAAGTCATAACAGTATTTGAGGTTGAAGTCTGATACAGAATCGTCTTTATTTGGTTAGACTTTAGCTTAGATTTTCTCAGTGAAAATTACTTTTTGGATCGTAAAAATGTACATGAAAATAAAATGAAAATTTAGTCCAAGACATTTCATAAGAACTTAACATTATATTTGCATCTGATTCGTATGGGATTTACAACAGTTCACCTTTGGCTTGACATTGTAAATCCCATGCAAATCGACCGCTCATGTTGTAAATGCTACTTAGTGGAGTATAAGTTCTGTAACCAATAATAATCTAAAATGGTATTTATAAGCTAAAAAAAATCATGGAATGATTCTAGAATACCTTAGCTTGATGTTTTTTGAGAAGGGCATTTACCCTTTTCGCTTCATCTTTCAGCATAATTTGTTCTTTCCAATCTTAAATGAAAATCAAATATATATTTGGCTTATGAAAAATTTCATTATTTAAGTTACAGGTAAATTTAATCATGCTCAAAGGCAACAACAAAAATGCTGTTATATTTATGATAGAGGACATGATAGCATTTAGGCTGAAATAATAAAGGCTATATTTTGTGTTTGTTTTTCTTACCACATATTCAGATTCTTCTTCATCATTATCTTCATTTGTTGATTCATCTTGACCTTTACCATTAGCATCCAAAGTATCTACAATTTTAATAAATTACATGAAACTTGCTTAAAGTACCTAATTTTTTTCATTAGTTATTTGGCATTATTCTAAAWWTATGTATATTATTCACTTCTGCTCTGTCTCAGAGTAAGATTGACTGTTGACTGTAGAATTAGTGCATACAACTGATAAGTGGTTCAGGGTTCATCTTTTTCTTTTTTCGCGGTGGTTCCATTTCGTCATTTGCAGGCTCGGAATCCTCTGCTGACTTTACTGTGATTGCCTCAAGTTACAATACAATACAATACAATAAACTTTATTTGAGGGTGACACGATTAACCCCAAGAGTTATCTAGCGCGTGGCCTTCACACTACTGAAACGATTCAAAAATAAAAGAAACTAAAAGTGCAAAACTTACATCATATTACTGGAAATTTGAATGAATTACAATTTTAATCAAATGGAAAAGAAAAATTGACAACATTTATAAAGTGCTGCAGGAACAACGAAGTTTAAAGAGACACTCTAAACAGAATAATTCTTCTAAGTGCGAGGCACTTGAAGAAAACTGAAGAAATAAATAAAGGCTTTTAAACTTGAAATTGGACAGATTAGATGAAAGAGAGTAAGAGGGATTAGGATGACGGAGTGGATGTTTCGAATCAGAATCAAGACAGTTGAATATGGAAGCTGAACTATAAGCAAATGTACGTTTTCCAGAGTTGGTACGAGGAAGCAAAACATGAAGATTAGTTTTAGAAACGCCAGTAATTTCACCAGCTGATTTTAAGACAAGTGGGTGGATTTGGGTTGTTCATGATTTTAAACAGAACAACAAGCTTCCTAAGTTGCTGCTGCTTCTTGTAGCAAGCCTCTTTAGTTCCTTGTCAGCAATATTTAAAAAAAATTGTTGGCAATTTTCATTAACTCTTTGACTATTRAAATAACTTAAAAACCTTTGTGCGAAATCTTTTTCTTCAACAAAATGCGCGTATTTTTCRTTTCATTAGAAATTATTGTGAGATGCTGCTATGCAAAACTTTCAGCAAAGTTGTTTTTCGCTATTTTAAGAATTATTACAGAAATTTTCACAATTTTGTCTGTGGCTAGGGACAAAACATCAAATTTCAATGAACATATTTTGAGTTATTTCACTTTAAGATTTGAAAATCGGATGAAAAATGTCTATAATCGTATGCATCTTACAGTAGCCTAACATTCATCATAAAGCCG